GAAGTGGCGCTGTAGCTCAAGTGGTAGAGCGCTAGCCTTGAGCTGAAGAGCTGAGGGGCAGCACTCAGGCCCAGAGTTCCAGCCCCGTGACAGACCCCCCCCCCAAAAAATCAAGCAAAATGAAACAAAAACAAACAAAAACCCCAAATTATTTATATGCCCGATGGGTAGGATTACTAATTCTCAGCTCTATTAAGCTATGGGTACAAATAAAAAGTTGACTAAGCCCACATCCCTCCTGCTGAAATATAAAATGTGAATAACTGGATTTATTTATAGAATTTCATTAAGTTGTCATTTATTGAAATCTTTTGCTGAAAGTAGAAAGTTACTAAATGTTCTTTGCTTAGATGAATATGTTAATATTTCACAGTCCATGTGTCATTTCTAACAGACTTTAATTAAAATATCAAAGAATGATTATATATTAGAAGCACACCTATTTCATTTACATTAATTAAAACCTTCTGAAAATTAGCTTCAAAATCTACTTTTGTTTATAAAATTTACCCTGTTTTATGGTTTATGGATATCTATAAACTGCTGCTGACTAGATGGAACCAGTAGGGTGTAGTTTTGTGTGTGTGTGTGTGTGTGTGTGTGTGTGTGTGTGTGTATTGACAGTAGTGGTGGGGTGGGGACAGCGAGTGACAGAGAGGAAGACAGAGAAAGGAGAATGAAAAAGAGAAACAGAGACACAAAGAGATGAGGGGAGGGAAGAGACAGACAAGAAACAAAGACAGTCATGGAGAAAAGAAAGAGACACACAAGAGAGACAGACAGAGAGGGGGAAGATAGAAGGAGAAAAAGAGACAAAGAAGAAGACAGACACTGATCTATCATCTATCTGTCTGTCTGTCTTCTGGATCATGACTAGATCATACACACAAAACTTTTATCTTGGCATTATTAATGAAAACCTCCTCTAGAAAGCCTCTTTTAATAAGACATAGCCAGGACATAAAACACCTTGTGCTACAGAGAACCACCCAAAGTTGAAGCTCTGGGAATCTAGAAACACCTGGCCAATATATATTATTTTACAAAGGAAAAGACAAAGGCATGGGAGAGTTATGTGTACCCTGTGTAAGGTACCCAGAGTTGCAAGCCAGGCCTAAAAGCCAAATGTCCTACCTCCCAGACCAAATGATTTCTCTATTAGTCTCTGCTACTTTTAAAGACCTCTGGAGTTTTTAAAACAAGAATGACATTGTTTAATCATTTTAACAGAATGCAAACACAAACTCAGAACATTAACTTGTTAGTGGCATTTTATCTCCTAGAACTACATGCATTAAAAAATCTGTATCTAGCTGGGTGCTGGTGGCTAACACTTCTAGTTACTCCTAGTTACTCAGAAGCTGAGATCTGAGGATTGTGGTTCGAAGCCAGCCTGGGCAGGAAAGTCTATGAGATTCATCTCCAACTAACTACCAAATAAGTGAGAGTAGAGCTGTGGCTCAAGTGGTAGACCATTAGCCTTGAATAAGAAAGCTCAGGGACAGTGCCCACGCCCTAACTTCAAGCCCTAGGATACACACACACACACACACACAATCTGTATCTTTATGATTAAAATCATGCCTTACACTGACCCCATTTTTTTTGGGTAAGATATTGAAAGTATCTTAAAAAAATGTTTGTAAAATTTTAGGATCATTCTCCTTCTAGAGGTAAGTTCTTTTATTTTTTTGTCAGTTGTGGGTCTTGAACTCAGGGTTGGAACACTGTCCCTAAGCTCGTTTTTTCTCAAGGCTAGCTCTCTACCACTTTGGGCCAGAGCTCCACTTCCCAGCATGGCTTTGAACTGTAATCCTCAGATCTCAGCCTCTTGAATAGCTAGGATTAAAGGAGTGAGCCACTACCTCCTGGCTAGGGGTATGTTCTCATTAAAAATATTTTAAAAGTTATTTCTAAGTATATTTTTTGGCTCAGAAGTGGGAGGATTTTGAGTTTCAGACCAGCTCAAGCAAGAAGTTTTCAAGACCTTACTTTGACATTAATAAAAATTAACAAAAGGGTAGATAGGAGAGGGCAAGGGGAAGGGGTGACATTGTTCAAAAGGAAAGGTACTCTTTGCTTGACATATGTAACTATAACGGCTCTGTATATCACCTTCATAACAGCAATAAAACAATTACAAACAAAAATTAAGACCCACAAAAGGGGGTAGCTCAGGTTGTATAGCTGAGTTCAATCCCTAGATCTCAGGAAAAAAAAAGAAAAAGAAAAAAAGCAGAAGAGGAGAAGGAGAAAGAAGAAAAGGAAGAATTGGAGCAGGAAAAGGAAGAGGAGAAAGGTTGGAATTCTGCCAATTTAAGTTGTTCCAAAACCAGGATTGGAAATAATTGCTGATGACAAATGATTAAGAAAGTGCATATTTTTTTGAAAAATTGTAATTCTACAGCAAGTAATCTAAAGTATCTTCAGAATGCTTTAAAACAAATAACTGGTTATAGCTCTATGTCTTGTAGCTTGGGAAATGTCCTATAGCAATGAAGGGCAGTGATGTACCCCAACTCAGAGGGAGTTCTCAAACTGAAGGCTTGACCTTTACCCTTCTCACATCATCCCCCTAATCCCAAGTGTAGAAGGCCTCATGTTCACACATTTTTTTTTTTTTTTTTTTTTGCCAATCCTGGGGCTTGAACTCAGGGCCTGGGCACTGTCCCTGAGCCTCTCTGTGCTCAAGGCTAGCACTCTACCACTTGAGCCACAGCACCAACTTCTGGCTTTTTCTGTTTATGTGGTACTGAGGAATTGAACCCAGGGCTTCATGCATGCTAGGCAAGCACTCTGCCACAAAGCCACATTCCCAGCCCAATGTTCACAATTTTTAAATGATTAAAATAACCCTGAAAAAGTGACTAGCTAACAGGGCTTGATGATTGGAGAAGCTGGACCAATTGTATTCAAATTTCCCCTGGATTGAAACAAGCCAAACACCAGGCTTCCAGGCCTGCTAGAAGTCTAACTGAATGGCCTTCTCTCTCTAGTAGTAAGTAGAGTACACATTTGAATGGTCTGTAAACACCAGACAAGAAGTTCAGAGGCTGGTGGATCCGCATGTTCCGGCAGGTTGGGAACCAGCAGAGCAGCAAAGGTTGTGCAGAGTGGGGGTACAGAGGAGGTTTAGCTGGCATTATTCTCCATGATGGCACAGTATTTGAACAGTAATTAATTAGAAGGCTTAAAGTTGGCAGGGGTGAGATAAGACCTAGGTGAACCAGTGAATGTACAAGACCCTATAGGACATATGTGGTCCCCACGTTGAATGGATTTCTCAGATGAGCCTGGGGCAAAATTACTTGCTGATGCTAGCTTCATAGAAACCTCGCTGAATCTAGTTATTAGATATGGAGGTGTGACACCTAAATGGGGCTGAGACGTGTCAGATCATCTGCACAGTCCTGAGGTGAGATTCACATTTGAAACAGGAAAAAGCTACAGCCCGAGGGTTAGACTTCCCTCACGCCCCTCCCCGCCACAGGTGGCAGAATTGCTAGGTGATGAAGATCATTTTTTTCATGGTAAAATGAAAACATGGCTGTGTGTGAGTATCTGTCTAGGGTTATATGAGTTTTCCCCTCTCACCAGTGAGATATGGGTTGGTAGTAGTGGAGAGTGAAAGAGAAATGATAGTTTGAATGAATTCTTTATTTTTACAGGAAGAAAAACAAACAATTTGTTGCAGGCCTCATGCATGGGAATATTAGACACCAATTAATTATTCAATGAAAGCAAAAATAAGGGAAGACCCCACTAACCTCTAACAAATCAAGACTATGATTGTTAGAAGCATAATTGCAAGCAAATTGGGTGTTGGGGCCATGTGCTGCCTTCTTACTTTCTGTATATGTGTGTGTCTGATTAGATTATATAGAGGCATGCATGTGTAATATATATATATATATATATATACACATACATGCATACACATACATTTAGGAGAGCTGGGACAGTTTGAGCAGCTTGGGAAAAAGAAGGCTTAAATAACCCACTATGAAAGCTAAAATACATCTGTCAGTAATGCTGCCTTTTCTCTTCTTCCTTTTCCTTGTACCTGTGGTGTTATCCTATTAAACACACAAGACACATGCTCATCTGAAGAGGCACACTTGACAACAAGATGAAAAGCAGACCTTCGCAGTTTATACTTACACTAAAAATGTTAAATGGCCAAATAATCCTACTTTTAAGAGAAAATCCTTGTATGAGCAAGAAATTATTGCTTAGCTCCCCCAATTCATTAGTAAATGGATTCTCCAAATAACAGAATGATTTTTTGGAAGTTTACGTAGCCATGTTTATAAATACAATAGACTTTTAGAGACAGACACTGGGTGTCACTGCTTTCTTAATAACACCAGATGTTCTCAGTGCCAAAGACTTTCCGGAATGTGGTTTTGCAAAATTTGGCAGCACTCAGGTGAGCATGCCAATCAGGGAGCAGAAAAGAGTTAACAAAACCTTCTTCACTGAGTAGTAGACAGCTCTGAGCTGTTATTTTACATGGGTTCTTTGTTAGCACATTGCAAGTGTTTCAACCATTTTTATTCATTTTCAGATGCTCAGGACTAAAGGCATCTATTATATTATGATGTTCCAAAATTTATAACTGTGTGTGTGTTAAGCTTGACATCCACAAATATTCCTACACAAATATTGAGGTGCTGGCCTCATTCTTTCTCATAATATACATAAAATTAAATTAACTGAAAGGTCATCTCAGTGCTCTTGTAAACAGTTATATACCTACCCTGATTAAGATACATTGAATACTTTAGAGCTGTCCAGGTTCTATCCTTACAGCCCATGTAACTACTCTGCATCCATAGTGGTTATGGATGCCAGCGCTGGGGAGGAATTATTTGAAGTGAACCATATTCAAACAGCTCTCCCAGGAGAACCAGGTTAGGTACTGAAGTGATTTAGCTAGGCCAAAGGGCAAGGAATCATGATATCCCAAAGACAATCAGAGCAGGCAGTCAATTAAGGGTCATGCTGTTTTTCTACTATTTGCTATGTATGGATTTTGTATGTAATTTTCTCTAGCAGTCTTTAAAAATAGAATCACTAATGTCTCATGAGACAAAGAAAGTAGAGTTTTGCTCTGGAATTAAGGGATAAACCTAGATGACCTTTATGTTTCCCTTCCTCCATCATTATAGCAACATGGAATAAAATGCCAGCAATGCTCAACAGTCCAGATACAATGTGGGAACATAATGTCACGCCCTACACAAACAGCAGTTAGAGAGATTCGATATTGCTTTCAGATCTTATGTGGTCAGCTGAGGTAAGATGATGATCCATGTAAATCTTTTCCCTAAGTTAAAGTAAGTATAAGCCCACAAATTCTTAATATATATTGTGTAAGGAGGGGCTGCTCTGATGAAATTGAAAATGTCTCCTCCATATGTGCAGTTTCAGGCCTGATAACATTTAAAGAAAATGTTCTGAAAGATAAAGTTGGCATGTAAAAAGCACAGGGAAAGGACTTAGCAATGATCAGAGCAAAACAATTCTAGAAGGCATCTTAATTTTCACATGGCTCATTTGCATTTGAAACACTGAGAATTCCTATCTCCCTTGTACAAAAATATGTACACATTAAATGACTTTGCACTTGAAAGAATGTTTTTTCCTAAATGTTTGGAAGATGATCAAATTTTAACGGGAGGACTTGTTTTCTTCCATCAGGTGTGGGGGAGATGTGGCTTCCTGGTATGAGAGGCAACAGTTGATTCTAATAGCAGAACAAGACAAAAATAAGAAAGTAAATTGAAGACAATTCCTATAGATACAGTTTGAGTCAAAGGGGGTAAAACAAAATGATACATATGGCACAAAGATGTCAAAAAGACATCAATTTTACAATTATGCTTTGTTACCTTTCCAAAAACTGTGATCCTCTGCTCCTTGAAAATTAGTGTCTAGCCGTTATTCTAGGATTCTCATGGATGTACTATTACTTGCCTCAACACATTCCTGAATATATAGTTAGCCAATGTTTAAAAGGAAGATCTCCACCAGCTTTGAATATTTCGAGGAGACAAAATTACACCCGTATTCCCCGTTCCGCTTTTTGGGGCCAGTACTAGGGCTTGAACTTATAGCCTCACACTCTCCTCTAGCTTTTTGGGTCAAGGATAGCATTCTACCACTTGAGTTACACATCCACTTCCAGATTTTTGGTGGTAAATTGGACATAAGAATCTCACAAACTTTTCTGCCTGCACTGACTTCAAACCTCAATCTCTGATCTCAGCTTCCTGAGTAATTATGATTGTAGAGGCATGAACTCCCAGCACCCAGCCTCCAACTTTTAAAAGCCAGTATATTGGTAGAACTGTAAAGGCTTCAAAAATCTCCTTCCTATCACTGAAGACATGGGTCTTAAGGAGGCTGGTTGCCATCACTTGGAGATCTAGAAGTGGGATCTAGGTAGAAATCTTAAGTTACAAAGTGAGATGGTCCTGAGTAGAAAGGGCTTTCTGTGATTTTCAGTTTCTTTTCTCACATGATAAAATTTCTATGAATGTCTTCAGAAGATTAGCACTTGAAAGGCATCATTGTCTTCCTCTTGGCTTGGTTCTTTGGGGATCTCGTTGGTGGAGAGCAGGCTGAATGTGGTTCCATGGTGGTGCGCCATGGGGCTCACCATGTGCAGGTGAGAAGGATGCAGTTTTCTAAGAACATGACCCAGTCCTGACATAATCTTAGTAAGTGGGATAACCAAGTAGTGCACACTGCACTACTTGCTCCTTTCATTGTCCCTGGGTCTGTGGAAGGCTTTGTGGGAAAATCCCTGATGGGTACTCATGTGGGATGGGGGTGAGTTGGTGGGGTGGAGTGGTTCAGGCTAAAAAAAACAGTAACCCCACTATAACTTTTCACAGTGAGCAGCACACCAGCCTCCTCAAGGCCAGTGTGAGGACAGATGTGATCTGGAGTAGAAAGTGAATCCGGAGGACCTGGGAACAGGACAGGGGCATGTTGCCACTCCCAGGCCTATGGCAGGGAATGGGAGAGATTTCTAAAGGGCAATGACCTTTTATAGCAATTCACACTGGGTTTCAGGTGCTACCTCAGTTTATTTAAACAACCCTAATCTTTTGGTTATTCAAGTGTACACTGCATTGGGTTTGGTTTGCAAGAGATTAACAGTGGAGGGTAATAAAAAAAAACTGGAAACAAAAAATTTAACATTTCATTTTGCTGAATTAGTTTGATCTTTTTTTCCCAACAAATTTCTATTTTAACTACTACATGGTAAGAAAAAAAAGCTTTTTTTTTTTTTTTTTATGGAAGGCATGCTGATGATCCAATTTTTGGTCAGATAAGTGATAAAAACCTAGTTTAAAAGTGGAGGAGTGCCGGGCTCTGGTGGCTCAAGCCTGTAATCCTAGCTACTCAGGAGGCTGAGATCTGAGGATCATGGTTCAAAGCCAGCCCGGGCAGGAGAGACCGTGAGACTCCTATCTCCAATAAACCACCAGAAAACCGGAAGTGGCGCTGTAGCTCAAGTGGTAGAGCGCTCGCCTTGAGCTGAAGAGCTGAGGGACAGCGCCCAGGCCCAGAGTTCAAGCCCCACGACCGACAAAAAAAAAAAAAAAAAATAGTGGAGGAGTAAGCAAGCATAAGAAGTGAAAACTGGGCTGGGAAGGTGGCTCAGTGGTAGAGCGCTTGCCTTGCATGCATGAGGCCCTGGGTTCGATTCCTTAGCACCACATAAGCAAAAAGAAAAAAGCTGGAAGTGGCGCTGTGGCTCAAGTGGTAGAGCGCTAGCCTTGAGCTGAAGAGCTGAGGGACAGCGCCCAGGCCCAGAGTTCAGGCCCCACGACTGGATCCAAAAAAAAAAAAAGAAAGAAGTGAAAACTGTCAATTCTTGAGGAATTGAAAATTACCATTTTATTAATATCTAATATTTGTGCATTTATTTATTTGAATAACATGTGTAAGTACCTTCTCTATGTCAGACATTGTCTTAGATGCTGGGTTTACAAGACAAGAAAAGAAAGCAAAAACAAAACAAATCCAAACAAATCTACTTTCATGGAGTTTGTATTTTAACCTCAAAGTATTCTAAAACTAAGTAAAGGACAACCACCCAAGAAACAGCAGAAATAATGCTGTTATAACAGGCACTGTTTTGTGCTGCAATACTGGCTCATTTTAAGACAGAATTTGGTTTCCAGATGTCTGGCTTCATTTCTTTATATATGGTAGAGCTTATTGTTGGCTTCTAGGAAAAAACTAAAAAAAGAAACTTAGCTGCCTACATGGGTTAAAAAAAATGGAAGAGCTGAATTTTCTTTCCCAGAAAGGGACTAGCATTCCTTTGCAATGGTGGCAAAACTCAGTCCTGTTGTAATTTGGGCTTTTTCCTTTTTTTAGCCTATAATCTAGTGGGCTGAACACAATCTGTGTATTTAAGAATTGTACCACCATTTGATTTAAACACAAAGTAGGTGTGTGGTGAATTCCTTTAGTCCTCGCTGCAAGGGAGGCTGAGGTAGGAGCTTCACTAGAGTCCAAGAGACCAGCCTGGGCTACACAGTGAAATCCCAATTCAAAAAAGGTTGAACAGGGAACTGGTGTTTCATGCCTGTAATCTTAGCTACTCAGAAGGCTGACAGTTGGAGGATTAAGGTTCAAAATTAGGTGGGGCAAAAAAGTCTATAGGACTCTACCTCCAGCAAAATGCCAGACTGGAAGCATGGCTCAAATAGTACAGCACCAGCCATGAGCGCAGTGTGAGACCTTGAGTTCAAGCCCTGGTATCGTCACTACAAAAAAAGTACAATTGAATAAGATAGTGCAACAATCTGGATGTTTTTATAGTTCTAGGTTTTATTACATCAATCACCAATATTTATTAAGATAAATACAACTAAACAAGAAGAAAAAAGTCTTGGTGTCCACCTTATTTCACTTAGAAAGGCAGGAAAAGAAAAAAAAATTATAGCACTTTAACTTTTGAACAGTGGTACCTGCTGACGCCTTCTGTTTCTTCCCTCGTTACGTGCTTTTCTTTTCATTTGATCCTCTTGGAAGGAATCAAAGTAGCTGCTTTCCAGAAGCTGTGCACAGGTTAGTCTGTCATCCGGATTCATCTTCAGACATCCCTTCAGAATAGGAGGGAAGCAAAATAGATATTAAGAGAATGGCTACGTTGGGCACAGGCCATGCTTGTAATCCTAGCTACCCAGGAGGCTGAGAGATCTGAGGCTCACAGTCCAAAGCCAGTCCAGGCAGAAAAGTGCGTGAGAGTAGCTAGAAGTAGAGTGGTGGCTCAAGTGTTAAGAGCTCCAACTTTAAGTTAAAAAGCTAAAGGACAGCACCCTTGCCATGAATTCAAGCCCCAGGACTAGAAATAAAAAGGAGGAGGCTTATTTTGTTATTGTGCCCCAAACTGAGATATTTACTTGATAAAAACTCATAACTAATTACAGCTGCTCTTATTTTGCTGCCTCAGAGTTCCAAAGTAGATGATGCACATACACTGTCTCTGCAAGGGTCACATCAATGGCCTCTTTTAGTCACTCACCAAAGTCTTCCACCTGGCTCACTGGGCTACAAGCATCAGAACCACTCAGAACCTGTTAGAAATGCATCCTATCCCACATCTGCCCAGTGGGAAGCGCTGGAATGGAGGCCCAGCCATTTGTGGTCCCCAAGCCCTGTGGGTGGTTCTGATAGTCACATGCTCACGTCTAGGAACTACTGGTGTGTGGAGATGGCTAACAAATGTGAACCTTGGCAATGAGACAGAACGTAAAGTGGGGGAGAAATTGAGTTTTTTTTTCATGCAAGAGTCACTAAAGGCCGAAAGGAAAAGGTGGCATTATGACCCTTTGTTCTAAGTCTGCCTCTGAGAACAGGTTGTCAGCAGAAGGGGCGTTGACTGTCCTCCCACACAGGTTTTCTTCTTTCTGGTACTCTCACCACAGAATAAGGCTTTTCCCATCAGTAAAGATAGCTTACAATCTATATAGAACTGGAGCAGCTTTGTAGTAAGTGGCACAGATGACTAGAAATTTCTTGTCTTTGTCCATAAGAGAGAAACCAGGCTCTGAACATGACCCACATTTTAAGGAATCCACATGTCCAGATTGCTCTGCCTAATGGCATCTGCTCTTACCTCCAGCTGAGCCCAGATCTGAGATCTGAGGTTAAGGATGCTGCTGACCCTAAGCAGCATCTCCTGCCCTTAGGGCAGTATCTTAGTCCTGTTCAGCCAGAAACAACCCTGCTAGCATAATTTGCCCTTTGTTGTCTAAGGCCGACTCCAAAGTTCACCCCTTAATTAATGATCCATGCCATATATTAAGTGCAGCTGCTACTGGGAGGCAAAGTCCTCAGATTCCAATACTGTCAGATCTCTCACTAGGACAGCATGAGAGTTTTGAGTACAAACTGTGTTATTCTCTTTTTTCCCTGGGAGAGGAGATGATGTTAGTTTTTTGTTTGTTTTTGTTTTCTTTTTTTGAGACGGAGTCTTGTCATGTAGCCAAAGCTGGTTTTGAACTCACTATGTAACACAGGCTGCTTCAAAGTCTTGGTCCTCCTGCTTCAGCCTCCTGAGTGCTGGGAATGCAGGCATGTATCACCATGCAGGTTCCCATTATCAGAACCCGGGTTCTGATGCCATTATTCCCTTAGATGGCTCTTGTTATTAACATTGTTGATCCCTCCTCTAAATCTATTTTATTGTTTATTTTATTTTTTTATTGTGAAAATACCATACAGAGGAGTTACAATTACATGGGCAAGGTAATGAGTACATTTCTTATCAAGCCTTGTTGCCTCCTCCTTTGTTTCCCTTCCCATCCCTTTCCATCTCTGCTCCCCCCCTCTATTTTATTGTTGTATTTATTATTTTCTGGTACTGAGGCTTCAGAGAGCCTGGGACTTCATACATGCTAGGCTAGCACTGAGTACTGTTGAGGTACTCTTCTTCCATATCTTGAAACTCAGTAGGTATTTTGAGTTCTGCTTTCAATAGAACTAGACAACTGGCTAGGTCCTCCTTGAAATTCTTTGCCTTCTTTGTGGCCTGACTTTCCTTCTTCTATTTGGCCAGCCTTTGATACTTTACTTTGTCTGTAATGGCTCAATCCTCTTTTTCTGATCTGCTCTTAAGTTTCTATTGAGCTCATTGGTGTCCATGGCTTTGATTAAGAAGGTTTACTAGAATTTCCCACATGTGTATGTCTATACCAGACTTTTCTAGTTAGAGATCTATTGTCTGGATCAGATTCCCATGTGGTCTCAGATTGACTTGCTTATCATCAGTCACTAAGAGGATGTTTAAGGACAACAAGCCCAAGTTCATACTCATGGGGGCTCTTCATTGTGATCTCAGGTGAGATACTGGGATCTGCAGTTTTAAAAAGCTTATAGGTCATTCTGATGATCTGGCTACGCTCGGAAACCACTGCTATTCATAGGACTTTCTTAGTTGTTAATCACAGACATCATCTCTGGTGTCCTCATTCCTATACCACCAAGGACTTTCTGCATCCATGATGGATGGAGAGATTGTACCTTCTAGTCTGGCTTCTGTTGGTCAAGCATAGATAGCATACTAAAATTTTTCTTTTTGTTTGCTTCTCTCTTAGGCTTCATGTATGGAATATTTCTGGTGTCTGCATGGCTCGGGTTGTGTCTGGCCTTCTATTAATTATAGTGGCTATGTTAGAATGGTTGCTACTTAAACCACTGATGTTTCTTAGCTATAGTTCTTTTATGATTCCTTATCGTTTTTAATAACATCCTTTTTGGGCATTTTTTGTCTCACTGTCCACATATTACTATAGCTTCAAGCAATCATTACTTTGTTGTCTACAGTTATACTTAAATCTTAATTACCTTCATAAAATCCAAAACCACAGGATGGACATTTGAGAACTTTTCCTCAAGTGTTTCCTGAAAAACAGAATAAAGACTTTCAATGTTATATAACACACAAAGTGGGACTGGGAAGGTGGCTCAGTGGCAGAGCGCTTGCCTTGCATGCCTGAGGCCCTGGGTTCGATTCCTCAGCATCACATAAGCAAAAAGAAAAAAGCCGGAAGTGGCATTGTGGCTCAAGTGGTAGAGCGCTAGCCTTGAGTTGAAGAGCTGAGGGATAGCACCCAGGCCCAGAGTTCAGGCCCCACGACCGGACCCAAAATAAATAAATAAAACTTAGTCCCCAATTTAAAAACACACACACACACAATGTATATTGTGCACATATTGACATTCAGAATACTTTGGAGAAATACCCTTTAGTATGTTAGATAATTCCTTTTAAAGTTTTTAAAAATCATGTTTTTACATAATTTATACTATAGTGTAAAGGCTAGAAAGACATAAAACTGGAGTTTTCAGTTTGTTTTTTTGTTTTTTGCCAGTCCTAGGGCTTGAACTCAGGGCCTGGGCACTGTCCCTGAGCTTCATTTGCTTGAGACTAGCACACTACCACTTGAGCCACAGTGCCATTTTTGGCATTTACCCTTTATGTGGTCTTGAGGAATTGAACCCAGTGCTTCATGCATGCTAGGAAAGCACTCTACCGCTAAGCTTCATTCCCAGAGCCTTTTTTTTTTTTAAATTTCATGATGGCTCACAATTAACGCTGACAATTCTAGGAGGGAAGCAGATAAAGAAGCTTCAAGTCTAATGCTGAAAAATGTCTCCATCTGAAATCTTACCACAGTGACTGTTTATAGAGATGCTTTGAGCATTCTTTAAGCATAGAAAATATGTTGAATTACATGTATTACAATAGAAATCAGTAGAACAACAAACATAAAATTTAGAATAGTAAGGAAGGAGGGGAGATGAGCAAACTTCAAAGATTAACAGGAAAACTCCAGACTGCATACTCAGTGAGGCTGCTTTATCTTGCTCTATTTATTTATTTTTTGGCCAGTCCTGGGGCTTGAACTCAGGGCCTGGGCACTGTCTTGAGCTTTTGTGTTCAAGGCTAGTATTCTACCACTTTAAGCCACAGCTCCATTTCTGGCTTTCTGGTAGTTATTGGATACAAGAGTCTCATGGACATTGTTGCCTGGGCTGGCTTTGAACTCCAGATCTCACTCTCCTGACTAGCTAGAATTATAGGCATGAGCCACTGGTGAAGGCTACCTCTTGTTCTTTAACTTAAGTATATTATATAAATATTGTTTTGAAACATTACGTTTTTCAGTTCAACCACATGATATTTGCTAAAGGTTTAAAAATATTAAAAAAAAATTTAAAAAACTCAGTATGTAAGTCAAAGTATCCCAGGAACTAGCTGACTTAAAATGTACAGGGTGTCTAGAGGTAGTTAGAACCCACAGGCCATCAATTCCAATTCCTGCACTGCTGTGGCTTCAACACAGCCTGAGTGAGGACACATGGACATGCGCCTCTCCTGATAGTCCTTTCCTACCTTCCCTCACAGATTCAAGACCATATAGAGTTGCAAAGGTCTTTCCCTGAGCTTAGGTAACTCACACAGGAAACTGACGTCTACAGATGATCAGAGTCATGTGGCCTTTGATGCATCCTCAGATAAAAGCAAAGGCCACAGCAAGGGCTCCAGGTAGTCACTGATTTGGAATCTAATGAGTATACTGAGTGACCTTTTATGGAATGACTTTGATAGGGAAATAGGAGTTATGAAAAAAGAGGCTTTACTGATTTGAGCTTTGTTTCACAAACTGAAAAAAATTAGGAGAATGTACATCTTCCAGATAAAGACTTCTTTCTGTATGTACATGTAATGAGAAAATATTTCAGCATGAGTTATTACTTTACTGCTCTGAGTAAAAAAATCAAGATATTAAAGATACTTTTAAATTTAACATTATTCTTTGAACAGATAGAACAGGTAAACTTTTTTTTTTTTGTCAGTTGTGGGACTTGAACTCAGGGCCTAGGCACTGTCCATGAACCTCTTTGTACTCAAGATTAGTGCTCTATCAGTGGAGCCATAGTGCTACTTCTGGGTTTTGAGTGGTTAATTGGAGATAAGAGTCTTATGGGGACTTTTCTGTCTGGTGTTGACTTTGAACCCTGACCCTCAGATCTCAGGACTTGAACTCTGGGCCTGGGTGCTGTCCCTCAGCTCTTCAGCTCAAGGCAAGTGCTTTACCATTTAAGTCACAATACTACTTTCGGTTTTCTGGTGGTTAATTGGACTTACGGACTTATGGACTTTCTTGCTCGGGCTAACTTTTAAAACAACTTCCTGCTGGGTGCCAGTGGCTCATGCCTATAATCCTAGCTAATCAAGAGGCTGAGATTTTAGGATCATGGTTCAAAGCCAGCCCAGGAAGGAAAGTCTGTGGGACTCTTTATCTTCAATTAAACACCAAAAAAAAAAAAAAAAAAAGCCAGAAATAGAGCTATGGCTCAAGTGGTAGAGCACTAGCTGTGAGCACAAAAACTCAAGGACAGCATCCAGGCCCAGAGTTCAGGCCCTGGAACCAGCAAACAAACAACCCCCAACACCAAAGAAAACCCTAACACTCCCTTCCTCCCAACTTCCTGGGTCATGTAAACTTTTTTTTTTTTGAGACAAGACCTCTTTACATTGCCCAGGGAGTCCTGAACACCTCAGTTAGTGATCTCTTCCTCAGTCTTCTGAGTTGCTGGGACTACAAACATGCCCCACTGCAACTAGTTTATTCATTTTGAATATTTCTTTGATCTCTGTCAGTATTTCATCATACTGAAAACATAAGGCAAAAGTACAAATATTAAAAAGGAAACAACAACCTCTAAAGAAAATAGCTAGACAATAAAATTCCAACTAGAGAAGTTTACCATGTCTTCTGGTTCAGGTATACTGATGCCATGGAAAAACTGGTTACTTTTAAAGATAGATTGATGCCGTGGGATTAGTTTTCCTATAAGACACAAACAACATGGCTTATGATAAATTTGGCTTAAAAAATCAGTGTATATAAATGATTAGCTTCTACAACCCAGGTATAAAGAAAATATGGTCTTGTTCCTTTGGATCAGATGAACAGTAGCCCTGCAGAAGTCTGTCTACTCAGGTAGGCCAATTCTACTCAACTCTCTATGCTACAGGTGGTTTGGTTTGCCATTCAGCCTCAGTCCAAAGACAAAGTAATCAAAAAAAAATCTTACAACTGTATTGCTTTTCCTTATTTATTTTGCTGTTGGTCATGGGGCTTAAACTCTGGGCCTAGGATCTATTTGTGAGCTTTTGTGCTCAAGGATAGCATTCTATCACTTGAGCCACAGTTTCATTTCCAGCTTTTTTTTTTTTTGTGGTTAATTGCAGATAGTCTCACGGACTTTCCTGCCTGAGCTGGCTTTGAACTGTGATCCTTAGATCTCAGCCTCCTGAGTAGCCAGATTACAGGTGTGAGCCACCAGCACCTGGCCTGTATTGCTATTTTTAATCTTCACTGGATCATTGAAGAGAAATGAGGCTGAGAGAGATCTAATAGCCTGCTTGAGGTCACATGGTAAGTTCCTTTTAGGACATCAATAAAATAAGCAACAAACACTAGTACAGCCTGTAGTTGTACTCCAGCCCTTGATTTTGTGTTCCTGAATACCCCAGATATTAGAGGCAAATGGAGGGCTGGCCAGCAGCCAGGTGGCCAGGAAAGCCTGTGGGGAGTAATTCAGATATGAGGTCACCTTCTTTGTACCCAGGCTCCTAGAATGAAGCTGGGTTAACATTTGGGATCTATGCTCTTCGGCTCACGGAGGAGGAGGACAGGGGCCACTGAGGATGCTTACACACTGTGAGAGTTCACAAAACATGTCTGGAGGTCATGGCTTTACGTCAGTCATGGAGGCACCATTAGACATAATATAATGTATAACCTCCCTAACAAGTTTTTCTTCAAACTGAAAGAAATCATGTGTGCACAAGTAATTTAGGAGTATTTTGTGTGTGTGCTGGAGTTTGAACTCTGGGCCTTGCACTTGCTAGGTAGATGCTCTATCACTCGATCCATGTCATTAGTAGCACTATATGAATGAAGAATGTTAGCATTTTAAGTTCTGGTAGCCATTCTCAATAAAGAACTAAAATCAGACTCTCAAGCTCTAGAGCAGAATCTGCAAACTAAGGACCTCAGGACAGATCTAGTGTACAACCTGAGACTTAACATGGATTAAAATAAATCAAAAGGAGATTGGTATCTTGTCATATGTGAAAACTATAAAAAATTCATGAGAATATTTTGTGCTTTGAGTGCAGAGTTATGGGGATGCAATGGAGACCGAATAACCTGGATTCCTCAAATACTTGCCATATGGCTTTTTAAAGTATCTAAAAGAATTATTTTAATAATTCATATTTTTAAGTTATATTTTTATTATTACCATATGACTGTTTTGTGGGTTTGTTTTTTTTTTGGTGTGTGTTCTCCAGTCCTGGGGCTTGAACTCAAGACTGGGAACCTTCCCTGAACTTTCTTGCTGACAACTAGCACTCTACCACTTGAGCTATAGTTCTAGGTTTTTTGGTGGTTAATTGTAGATAAGAATCTCACAAACTTTCCTGTCTGGGTTGGCTTCAAATAGAGATCCTCAGATCTCAGCCTCCTGGGTAGGTTAGGATTACAGGCCTAAGCCACTGGCACCTGTTTTACCGTAAGTTTTTTAAAATAGAATAACATTAGTGACCTTTGCTCTACAGTAAAGTGGGGGCATCTCTTTTACAGATAGCAGAAGTAGCATGTGATCAGATGTTACCTAGACTAAATCCTAGGCATCTGATTCCTATCTGTCTCTATCTTATTCCATTGTGGAAACAAGCATATAGTTTAATTCCAAGCTTGGAGGGCATCTGAAAACTCAGAGAGGAGCCCTGGCTCTATGTACTGACTGAAGCATTAGCTTTGGCTATAATCCAATTCCTCAAACCACCATCCTGAATAGCAATGACACCCATGTTTAAATTACAGTAGCATACTAATACTATTACTATTAAACTTTAGCTTAGAGTGTCAGTCATAAAATATAACTCATACCCAAAGTTCTGATTATCAGATAAAGCTGGTCCACATCTGATTTTCCAGGCCAGAGTGGTTGGCCTGTCAGGAGCTCCGCAAAAACACAACCGATAGCCCATATGTCGACTGAGGAGCCATATTTCGTATCTCCCACCAGGAGTTCAGGGGCTCGGTACCACCTGGTGGCAACGTAATCAGTGTAGGCATCTCCTGGAACTGCAAAAGGACACCCAGCAGATCAGAGGAGTCATATTTTCCTACCGTGTGACCTATAACCTATTTCCCAGAGCAGGTTAGACATTTAGGCAGGCTTCAGTAACTTGCAGAGGCTGTGATTTGCTAATTGTGTTAATGGTATGAGGCATAAGTTGAGTGAGTAGTTACCCTGTGCACTGGTACAGTAAATTTGACTCTTAGGACCACTTTAGCTAGTTAATATCTACATCACTGAGCCGGGCGCCGGTGGCTCATGCCTGTAATCCTAGCTACTCAGGAGGCTGAGATCTGAGGATCACGGTTCAAAGCCAACTGAGGCAGGAAAGTCCGTGAGACTCTTATCTCCAATAAACCACTAGAAAACCACAAGTGGAGCTGTGGCTCAAGTGGTAGAGCGCTTGCCTTGAGCTGAAGAGTTGAGGGACAGTGCCCAAGCCCCACGACTGAAAAAATAAAATCTACATCACTGAAAACTAGAGGTAGGGTCTTGCTGAGACTGTCTGTACCAGACTACAAGTCTAAACCAACTGCTGTTTGTTTCCATATTTTTATCAGCCTGGTGCTTCTCTGTTAACTTATGTCCTTCCCAGAAAGATAGGTTTGAAGTCTTATTTCCAGGTACCTGTGAATGTGGTCTTATCTGGAAACAGGGTCTTTGCAGATGTCATAGAGTTATAGAAGGTTACATTAGATTATAGTGGACTCTAAAGTCAATAATTCAATGACTTATTTTTTTTAATTTTTTTTAGTACTGGTGTTTGAGCTCAGAGTTTGAACTTATTAGGCTAGTGATTTATCATTGAGTCACAACCCCCAACCCTTGAGTGGATCTTTTAGGTTAAAGATCCAACTTTATTTTCTTTTGCTCCCCTCATCCCTCTTAGTACTAAAGTTTGAACTCAGGCTCTTGTGCTCATTTGGTTGGCTTGCTCAGCTAGCACTCTAATACTTGAGCCAGGCCTCCAGCCCTGCATTTTGTTGGTTATTTTGGAGAGAAAGTCGAGGATTTTTCTGCCTAGGCTAGTTTCAAACCCAGATCCTAGTGATCTCAGAGTCCTGAGTAGCTAGGATTATGGGTGTGATTCTCCAGCAATTAGTTGGAACTTAATTATTTCTGAAGGTAAGTCTGTTGATGGAGTCAATGTTAGTATTTTTTAGCACATAGTATTATAGACAATTTGCTTTTTGTTTTAAAAAAGATGAACAATGATCCCAGCAATAACCCAAACCAGTAGCTTTAACAGCTCAAGCTGAAACCAGTGAGTGAGCTCACTTCCTGTGGAGAGTTTGGCCAATGAGAATGAGCTGGCATTGGTTGTACTACTGCTTTGTTTATTACATACCAGAAGCTTATTAAATATTGAATTTGCCACAATGAGTTCACCAGTCAGAGACTTGGGGATATATTCATTCAATCAGAATTTCTGAGATGAGTGACCCTAATTTTGAACTAAGACTCTTTATTCAGAGAAGGATTATGCTTGTCATAGGAAGGCTCAGCAGGAAAGAAGAATGCATATTCATGAAAAGTCAAATACATTTGTATTTTCAGCAGAAATGCCAACTTAAGAAGTCTTGTCAGCCCACAAAGGAAAATCCCCAGAAGGACTATTTATGAGATAATTTCCACACATTTTTCTATGTTCTTAATGTTTGCAATGACATCTTTTGTGTTTGTAAAAAATTATTTTTGTGACCAAACTGGGTATTTTTATGGTTAAAAAAAGACTTCCAGGGAAACCCCCAAACTTGACCTTGCATTTATAGGAAGTATCAGATAGTATCAGATGACTATTATGCACTTAATTTCCTAAGTTAAGGGTCATATGTATTGCTGTCATTTTTCCTATGCATTTCTTGTAGAGTTCAGATCATACTGTATACATCCGTTTTGTTTTCCTTTTTTAGTTAGCATGTCTTGAAAATTGCCAGTGCCACTAAAATGCAGACATCATTTCTAATGGCTGACTAATATTCTTGGACAGGAATGAACAAACACAGAGTTCACAGCGCCATAGTTTTCCAGTGTTTACCATTTCTCTTTTCAGCTACATGAACAAGGACTCATTATCATTAGGATCCTATTGTTTTTTTTTTTTCACAACAAAACATAGCAACCCCTACAAGGCATTGTCAGGTCCCCTGTAGTTTGGTCCTGTTAGGATTCAAATTATGTGCATACTTGTATTATAAAAAAAATATATGTTGCTAACACATGTTCTTGCTGCAAAATTCTAGTTTCTGGTATAAATAACTATTTGTTCCCCCCCTTTTCCTTTGGCTCCTCCCTGCCTAGATTGTTTTACTTTTTCTTTTTTTCTTTTCTTTTTGTGCCAGTAATAGGGCTTGAACTCAGGCTTCAAGCTCTTTTTGTTGTTGTTGTGGTGGTGGGGCTTGAACTTGGGGCCTGGACACTGTCCCTGAGCTCTTTTGCTCAAGGCTAGAGCTCTACCACTTTTAAGTCACAGTGCCACTTGTGGTTTTCTGTTGATAAGGAAATAAGAGTCTTGGATTTTCCTGCCTGGGCCGGCTTTGAACCATGATCCTTAGTTCTTAGCATCCTGAGTAGCTAGGATTATGGGCATGAGCCACTAGTGCTTGAGCTCTTGCTTAGTGTTTTTGCTCAAGGCTGGTGCTCAACCACTTGAGCCACATCTTCATTTCAGCTTTTTGCTGGGCAATTGGCGATAAGAGTGTCATGAACTTTTCTGCTTGAGCTGGCTCTAAACCTTGGTTTTTCAGATCTCAGCTTTTTGAGTACCTAGCATTACAGGCATGAGCCTCCAGTGTTTGACTTGATTTACTTTTTCTTAGCACTATTTCTAAATGCTCTCTCCTTAATTTTTAGTTGAGTCTGCTAGTCTTACCAGCTCTAAGAAGTTTGTTTTCAATCTCTCTAGCCTACATTAATGTCTTTCTCCAGGGAGATGTCTGCACCTTCATTTCAGTACTTTATTGCCAGCAATTTTGTGATTCTTTTATTTTGTTTGCTTTCAATTATAAGTGCACTAAGAGCAGAAATGCATCTTACAATTCTTTCCCACCCCTGTGCAGCACATGAAGATGTCATCCAATAAATTCTAGTTGAATGGAGTAGAGATGAAGTGCCAGCTAATGTACTCACTAAAAGGCTGATGTGAGATTTTTCTTTTGGAATAACAACAATAAAACACTTGGCACACATTCAGTATCTCTATAGTCTTATAGTTTATAGAATTTATAGCCATCTGAATTGGATAAAGTAGGTTGGAAATGGTTACTTACTCAGAATCCGTGCAAACCCAAAGTCACAGATCTTGATTATTCCTTGTTTAGTTATTAGAATGTTTTCAGGTTTGACATCTCTGTGAATACACTGTAAGATAATATTTGATTATTTTCCTGCGCCATCAAAATGACAAAGAATGTTAGTAATTAAACGATGGAATACCACCTATACAGATGTTTACGTTTATGTATGATAGAAAAAATGTGCTGGGAGCAGGGGCTCACACCTGTAATCTTAGCTACTCAGGAGGCTGAGATCTGAGGATCATGGTTTAAAGCCAGCCCCGGCAGGAAAATCCATGAGTCTCTTATCTCCAATAAACCACTCAGAAAGCTGGAAGTGGCGCTGTGGCTCAAGTGGTAGAGTGCTTGGCTTGAGCTGAAGAGCTGAGGGACAGTGCCCAGGCCCAGAGTTCAAGCCCCATGACCGACAAAAAAAAAAAAAGAAAAAGAAAAAAATGTTCTTTATTTGTCTAGAAGAACTTAAATTGGTCACTTTTTCATATATAAATCTTGCCATACAAAATAAAAAATCTAAATGTTATATTATTGAAGAAATTAATTTATAATAGTTGCGTATGAAAACCCATTGTTTCTAAAGGAAATATTATATAATCATTTCATTTACTTTTTCCTGGGCCTACGTGACTCTAAGAGGTAAACCCTCTATGGGAGCTGACTGTGCCTCTTATAAGAACTGCCGCCACTCAGAAATCACAATTCAGGCTGAGCACTGCAGAGTTGAGAAATTGGAAAAACATTTACATAGTAATAAAACAAAATTCACTTACAATTTGAGTGATCATATTAGCTATCACCCAAATCTGTTAGGTATGAAAAAGGCTCTCTTCATAATTCTGCAAGTCACAAATCAGAAGTGTCCTGGGTGAGTGCGGAGGCAGAGGTGCCCATGTATCAGATTCCAATTTCCTCCATGATCCACTGACCGGGAATGGAGAATGGCTCTCATGAGATGCCCACAAGGTGCTGCTGGAGGTCCTCCCAGGAGGGCAGGATGGCTCTATTACCTGCTCTTGCGTGGCCAAAGTGCCATTAAATCTTTTTTTTTTTTTTTTTTGAGTTTTTAAAATGAATTTATTAAAGAATGCTCTCAGGAAGACAACCACTTTTGATTTGTCATTAAAAAAAAGTCAAGTTTCTTCATGCTGTATAATAAAGGTAATGTAGGAGAATACAGAGTTATAAGCTTCTTTCTGCTGGTATTCTCCCATAGTATAGCACAGTGTAGTCATTTTTGCAATGCTAGAATAAATTAAAAAAGTCTCTTCTATGCTTCTCTTCAAAAAGTGATAATAACAGGAGATGGCATAAAAAAGCCTTTTTCTTCCTACTTATTCTGTAGTATTAGAACCAGTATTTTTACCATCACAGGCTACAATTTTTACTTGATCCACTTTAATAAGTTCTGTCACTTCTCTGAATTCAACATCATTCAATACAAAAGTCCACACATTATCGCAGAATCTGTATGTATTTAGAGAGCCCCTGAAATTGACTCTGTTCCTGACCCTCTGAGCCAATGCTGAATTTATAGCCTTATCAAACTGAAGTAGAACTTGAAGTGCAAGTTGGGGGGTGATCTGTTGAGACTGTATGAGCTCATCTAGGCTCTCTTGAAGACTGTTTCCCAGCGTGGTATTTCTGTATAACTGATATGCCATGGCTTAGGAGGAAAAAACTGTTTTCTTCAGGTTTGCATTGATGTCCACTCCCTGAGGGGAAAGGCGTTTCCCGCCGCAGATAGCTTAGGAATGGCGGGGCCAGGAGCCGGGCGGAGGCGCCCCCTCTGCCGACCCCCCGGAGTCTCCGGCCGTCCGAAGCCGCGGAGCTGGAACGACCCCATTAAATCTTTTATTAGATATAGTAACCTCACAATTTGCTACATCACCAGTGACCCTAAAGGAAGCCAGAGCTTCTGTGGAACACCAGAAGGTTCTGATGGGGGAGAGAAAGCAGACTGACTGAGCTCATGCATGCTCCAGAAGTGGCTTTCCATATAGTGGAGGTGCTGTGGGAAAACAGCTTGAGCCTGCTCTTCAGAACTTTCTTTTTCAGTTCATCCACTCCACAAAAGAAAACAGTGAGTGATACTGATAGTCTACAACTTGGCACTCATAGAGCACCCTGGACTTTTAAAGCACTTGTACACAAATTGTTTCATCCTTGCAATAGTCCTGGGGTTGTGATGGCCACTGAGTCTCTAGATTAAGTGTCACAATAATCATCTTGGTCTGCTTCACTTGTCTGCCATGCTTTAAGTCTCTTTAGGTAATCATGTCAAACTGACAATTTAGAAAGAATTATCTTTGTTTCCAGAAAGAAAGGCTAAGAAGAAAAACTTAAACCCTAAATTCATTCTAGGTCACAAAAATGGCACTAAAGCTAATTTTTACCAAGTCTCAATTACTTGCAACTGTTTTTTTTTTTATGGCAAGAAGTTAGGCTTCTTAAAATTTTTTAGGACTTTTAAAAGTTGTTAAGTCCTTAGAATATCAATAATGCATTGATATTAATACTGATACATTATAGGGCTATAAGACAAATGGGTTTTGATATACCTGTTTAAGCAATATGTTTACAAAACCTAACACTCCAGATCAGAAATACTTGTACTTGGTGATTTGATTAGAAAAGATCAGCAGTGGTGCTGTGGCTCAAGCAGTAGAGTGCTCGCCTTGAGCTGAAGAGCTGAGGGACAGCACCCAGGCCCAGAGTTTAAGCCCCAAGACCAACAACAACAACAACAAAAAGAAAAGAAAAGAAAAGAAAAGATCTTGTCACTCAAATGAGTTTTTATAAAATGGTAGATTTCCTAATCTATTTATGGCATCACAAAGTAAGTAGATTTACATTGATATTTGTCTTTTGGCTTATTTAAATATATTTCACCTCTAAAGCAAATCATGTGACAGTCATAGCACTTACTTTTCAACCAAAAATATAAAGGCGGGGCTGGGAAATTGGCTCAGTGGTAGAGTGCTTCTCTTTGCATACATGAGGCCCTGGGTTCGATTCCTCAGTACCACATAAGCAGAAAAAAGCCGGAAGTGGCACTTTGGCTCAAGTGGTAGAGCACTAGCCTTGAGCTGAAGAGCTGAAGGACAACGACCAGGCCCAGAGTTCAGCCCCGACGACCAACAAAAAAACAAAGAAAAGAAAAGAAAAGAAAAATATAAAGGCAAATGAAATATTGATATGATTCAAAGAAATAGAAAAAATTCATTTAGTTGTCGGTAGGGAAAGCTACTAATAAAGTCAGAGAACTGAAGAAAAAAAGGGGATAAAAATAATTGGGACAGGCCCAGGTTGCTGTAGCTCATGCCTGTAATCCTAAGTATCCAGGATTGAGGATTGCAGTTTGAAGACAGCTTGGGCAGCAAAGTCCATGAGACTCTTCTAATTAACCACCAAAAAGCCAGACGTAGATCTGTAGCTCAAGTGGTAGAGAGCCAAGTGAGAGTGCAAGGCCCTCAGTTCGAGCCCCAGCACCATCACTACCACCACCACCACCACCAAAAGGAAAAAACTGGACACAAGATAGCACATATGCTGGGTGCTGGTGACTCGTGCCTAAAATCCTAGACATGCAGGAGGCTAGGATCTGAGGATCACAGTTCAAAGCCAACCCAGGCAGGAAAGTCTGTGAGACTCACATCTACAATAAACAACTCAGAAAAAGCCAGAAAAGGTGCTGTGGCTCAAGTGGTAGAGTACTAGCTTTGAGCACAAAGGCTCTGGAACAGCACCCAGACCCTGAGTTCAAGCTCCAGGACCAGAAAAAAAATCATACAGAGGACAGAATTGTGGACACATTATTCCTCTTCCCCATTGTCCTGTTGTTAAGCCGCTCAAGCTCTTTAGTCGGCTCTTGTACAGTGGCTCCACAATCAGGCTGTTTTTCACCAAAGAGCAAGAAACATACAAGTGTCTTTAACAGGAGAATTTTAATAAACTTGGGTTTTATAGCAAACATTGCTCAGGTTTGATTATTGTTGGTTCATAAGCTGGCAAGAAGAGATCTATTCATGCTATTTTTAAAAATTAATTTATTGTCATAGAGGTGATGTACAGCGGGATCATAGTTACATGAATCACGTATTGAGTTGTTTCCTTTTTTACAGTATCTTCACTCTCTCCCAGGCCTTCTCCCCCATCTCTACCCACAAGTTGTATAGTTCACTTCCATCAGTGTCCTGTGAGCTCCACAGCTGCACTTTTTCACCCTCTTTCCCTCCAGTTCTGTGCCCTCCCCGCTCCTGAAGATATACATTTGAATACACCATATATAAAGACAGAATCATCAAAAAATAAAAATTAAAAAGAGATCTCATTTCCATATCTTGGAGTTCACTTTGATATTTTTCAATATAATTTTATATTAACTATGAGGAGGCACAAAGGGATTGTACCTTTGTGTTTCTCTCCTAAGAACATACTCTTTTGGTCTCACTGTATCTAGAATCTTGTATAACTTAATCATATTTCAGTGCATTTTAGATCTAACTTACGAATATCAGAGAAAACATGCACTGTTTGTCTCTCTAAGCTTGGCTCACTTCACTTAATATGATTTGTTCTAGTTCCATCCATTTCCCTGCAAGTGACATTTCATTCTAATGGCTGGGTAAATGTCATTGTGTAAAAGTACCATATTATTTGTCTCCACTCATCTATTGTGGGGCATCTGGGCTGTCATCTATTGTGGGGCATCTGGGCTGTTTTCAGATCTTGCTATTGTGAATAGTGTGGTAATGAACATGGATGTGCAGGTGTCTTCACCATATCCTGGCTCATGATGTTCAGGGTAGATGTCTAGGAATGGTCTGGCAGGGTTTTGGGGAAAGTCCATGTTTAGTTTTATTGAGGAATCTCCTGACTGCTATCCAGAGTGGTGGTACTAGTTTACATTCCCACCAACAGTGCAGTAGGGTTCCTTTTCCCCCACATCCCCACCAACATTTGTTGTTCAAATTCATGATGTTGGCCAATCTTTCTAGGGTAAGATGGACTCTCAGAGTTGATTTGATTTGCATTTCTTTTATGACCAGGCATGATGAGCATTTTCTA